GTGTAGCCAGGATGGTCTCGATCTCCTGACCTCGTGATCCACCCACCTCGGCCTCCCCAAGTGCTGGGATTACAGGCCTGAGCCACCGCGCCCAGCCTTCAGACTACATTTTTAAGAGTTTTTGTTTACTACAGATTGTATCGTCAGGGTACCTTGAAACTATGCTTCTGCGTGGCTATCCTCAAGCTCTGGGCTCGAATAAACTGTATAGTTATTTTCTGAATCTCATTACTTAAGATTGACATATACCTGTCAAGGACAGTAACTACCATGGTTTCCAGTGCTTTGATGATACCAAACACCTTGCATCTGAGGTTTTATGTTGTTGGAGCATTCATTGTATCCCTGGGGATTGCAGCTCTAAGTTTGCTGTGGTGAACCAAGAAATAAGGCATATGCGGATTTCTGCAGAAATTAGGATTCCATGAAAGATATTGAGGCCATGAGGAAGGCTGGTATCTTTGAGTGCAAAGTGGTTTGGGAATATAAAAAATTTGCTTGGATTGAATCACATGGAAGTTTGTCACTGACTTGTGTTCGGGAACTATGAAACATGAATATGTAGGCTGAGAAAGAGTTTATCTTGATAAGTAAACAATTAAGAAATATTTTGGAGTGTAAAAAAAAAAAGTTTTTGTTTACTAGGCAAGTGTAGAGGTAGGCTGCAGTACCCCCAGGAATTAAACCAGTGATGTACATGGTTAGCACAGAAAGATAAGCATATATTTTTAGTCTGTTTTTCTAGTTTTAACATTAACTTCAATTTGAGATTGAAGCATGTAAACCAATATTTTTTTTCTTTTTTTTTTTTTTTGAGACAGAGTCACTCTGTTGCTAAGACTGGAGTGTAGTGGCACAATCTTGGCTTACTGCAACCTCCCATCTCCTGGATTCAAGCGATTCTGCTGCCTCATCCTCAGAATCTGTAGCTGGGAATACAGGCGTGTGCCACCACACCCAGCTAATTTTTTTGTATTTTTAGCAGAGACTTGGCCATGCTGGTCTTGAACTCCTGACCTCAAACAATCCGCCTGCTTTGTCCTCCCAAAGTGCTGGGATTATAGGAGTGAGCCATCGCGCCAGGCCCCGTGATTTTTTGAAAAATCTGGGTAGAATTCGGTAATTTTCTTACTATTCATTAACATTACTAATTACAACTTAATCTGACCCTTACTCTTATCCCTAGTATTGATTTTAAAGTTCTTTTCTAATTCTTAATTTTTACCTTTGATTCAGGTCCTCTTGCATCTGACACGTGACTCTGGGTTGGGACAATTTGACAACAACATTTAAAAAGTTTTCTCTCCACAGCCAACTAGAATGTGTGCCCTCTGTAAAGTAGGTCATCTTACTTTACCAGTGGGCTTATTTGAAAACATTTTTCTTGTTAAACTTCCTAGCTTCTCCAGTGATTTTACACAACAGCCTACTGAAGGTAGAAACAGTATATCATCAGTTCTCTTTGCTATTTCCTGAATTTAACTTGAGACTGAGGCCAGGCATGGTGGGTCGTGCCTGTAATCCCAGCACTTTGGGAGACTGAGGCGGGCGGATCACGAGGTTAGGAGTTCAAGACCAGCCTGGCCAACATAGTGAAACCCCGTCTCTACTAAAAATACAAAAATTAGCCAGGCATGGTCGGGCACACCTGTAATCCCAGCTACTCCGGAGGCTGAGGCAGGAGAATGGCTTGAACTGAGGAGGTGGAGGTTGTGGTGAGCCGAGATTACACCACTGCACTCCAGTCTGGGCAACAGAGCAAGACTCCATCTCAAAAAAAAAAAAAAAAATTTGAAACTGGCTGGATTTCAGTCTTCCCCAACAGTACAATCTATGTCATTCATTTGCATTTTTTTTTCAGCATGATGATATTGTCCTAGGTAGCTCTTTGTCCATTACTGCATTTAAAACGTTCAAGGCCCTCCCCTCTCTAATCATTGTAATCCATTTAAAGCCATTTTAGAAAGAGAAGGCTGTCTTACTGTCTCCATATCTTAGCACACCCATATCTCAGCACAATGCCTAGCATATCGTCATGCTTAATCTGCTGAAGATCAGTGGAGTTGGAGTTTTATTCCCAGTTCGTACATATCAAAAAATGAAGATCGAGTCCTTTCCCTTTGTCTCACTCCTACCTTTATTTAACTAAAAAGTAGATACTCAAGGTTGTCAGAGTTACCTTTTACCACTAATTTGACAGTCTCTCATAAGATGTATTTTTAGTTTTAATATCAATAAATCAGTAGAAACTAAATGTTATCCTTTATAACAAATCCTTATTGTTAAAATAGAGTAAGCCTAACTACCTGAGGCTGAAATTTATGGAACAATTTATTTATAAGTTTTGAAATGTATTTCATTGTTTTTGAAGCTAGTCCCCAGATTATAATTATTCCAGCTGACACACAGGACATTATTCTCTGGCAGTTTCCACCCAGCCTATTGATGCTTTCTTCACCAGGTTGGCCCCTTCAACAAGTTTCTGATGGTTTATACAAGTGAAGTGTTCCTAAAAACAAACAAACAAATGTCTCAATTAACTAAGTAATTGAACAGAACTTGCATATTTTCAGTAAAAAGAGTAATGTTTTACAAATGAACAGTTCCAGGATGGTAACAGTAGGAGGGAACTTCTTCATTGTGTTAGTACCACTGCTTTTTAAGCTGGCATGCATGGAGGTACACAAAACTACAGGATAAACATAACACATGGTCCTGACGTGTCATTTTTATTTGGACAGGAGATACTCTGTTTTTTATTTCCATGATAAAAATAAAGATGTATTACACAGGTGAATTTAGAGGTCACATGAAGTTTTAAATGGGAATTTCAGAAAAATATTTTGCTTATGCCTGAGGTGATAAGTATATACTTACTCCTTTCTCTTGTTAAACTAACTTTATTGTATGGGAAGAGAAACAGGTTCAAGGAGGTTGCACAGGGTCAGGATGAGAAAAGGTCCATGTCCTTTCCTTTTTACCAATGCTTCCCGAACTTTTCACTCCGTAAAGAACCTGTTCTATGATCTGCCTGCCTCCAAGAACCCCACGTTTGAAAGATGTGACCTACGACACTGCATCTGTTCAATAAACTGTTTTACTGTTAATCAAAAACAAAAGAACTACAAGTTAGAGTTTTCGATCAACACAAGCTAACCAGTTAACCACACTGAATTGATACAATTTTGGCAAAAGGCCTTTTTGGGGGGAAATGGGCACATTACGCGTTACATAAAACTTGAGGGGATAATGAAAGTGACTGGAATTATTACTAATTTAGAGCCTTAAAGATATGGGGACCCCTAGGAGTAACAGGTCCCAGGTTCTGAACTACTGTTCAGAGGCCTGCTGCCTCGAAACTTAAAATCTAGTCGTTCATGAATGACTAAAAAGAGAATGCCTGGGCAAGTGTGGTGTCTCACACCTGATATCCCGACACTTTGGGAGGCTGAGGCGGGTGGATCACCTGAGGTCAGGAGTTCCAGGCCACTCTGGCCAACATGATGAAACCCCGTGTCTACCAAAAATACAAAAAATTAGCCGGGCGTGGTGGCGCGTGCCTGTAGTCCCAGCTACTCGGGAGGCTGAGGCAGGAGAATGGCGTGAACCCGGGAGGGGGAGCTTGCAGTGAGCCGAGATCGCGCCACTGCCCTCCAGCCTGAGCGACAGAGCGAGACTCTGTCTCAAAAAAAAAAAATACAAAAAATCAGCCAGGCGTGGTGGCGGGCACCTATAATCCCAGCTACTTGGGAGGCTGAGGCAAGAGAATCGCTTGAACCCAGGAGGCAGAGGTTACAGTGAGCTGAGATCGTGCCACTGCACTCCAGCCTGGGCAACAAGAGCAAAACTCTGTCTCAAAAAAAAAAAAAGAGAGAGAGAGAATGCCTGTGTTTCAGAGTGAGCATGTTGAATTGATGCTTTTATTTCCTTTGCTGTTTGCATATAGATTGAATATGAAAGGAAAAAGAAGGAAGACGGAAAGCGAGCTCGAGCTGATAAACAACATGTTTTAGACATGCTATTTTCAGCCTTTGAGAAACATCAATACTATAATCTTAAGGACTTGGTGGACATCACAAAACAACCTGTGGTATGTATATGTTCATACTAATCCTTTGAATATGCCCTCCTTCATTAACATGACATTACTGAAAGTGTATCATACATGGTTTCGTTCATATTTACCTATGCTAATGACAAATTTTATGACAACAGTCAGAAAAGATGCCTTAATGCAGCCATTTTTTGGTAACATCAGTTTTTATTTTAGATTTTAGTACACTTAATATCAACAATTCTTTATGAAGAAAAGAAGTTGTCCTCGTGTTCATTTATTCTTGACATTAAGCCTGAAATCTGTTGATAGCATTTCTGGTCTTTATTTTGTTTCCCTGTCTTCCTCTGAAAAAGCTTAACTCCTTCCCTTTTTTTGGAAAACGTGCCTCATAGAAGAATCACATTCTTGAAAGAATTATACTGTTTTGTCATTGTGGGAGGGTTTATCCCTGTCTTGTGGATTGTTCTCTGTGGATTTTTTTTTTTTTTTTAATTAGAATCTAAGTAGGTCCTTTTAAACCTGAGCTGAACTGCACTTCATTATGCTTGCAGAGATTGTGATTAGGTTGGCCTGTTCCCCATTTTTAAGGACAAATTTAACAAATTGGTATTTTAGAAAGTTTATCTTTGTTTTATAAATAGTCATTTTTATCTCTTCTCTAGGCTTTTTTGCATTTACTAGTAATTTGCATTAATAACCCATTTAAAATGATAGTAACAATAAGAAATCCAAATTCTTTCTCTAGTCTTTGAGTCACATTGTTTTCCATTTAACTTTCTCCACCGTATGTTACCACAGTATCAGATTAAGTATTTACTTATAGGTTTCAGAAAATTGAATGGAAACTCTTTTTATCTCATTTGCTTTACCATTTTGTCCACTCTGCCAGTATACTCAAGAATATGTTGATTCTTGCTGCTCCATTTATTTGATTCAGAATATGTAACAAAATAACCAATTTTTAAAAAATCTTAACATAACCAAATAACCTATTTGTGAAATAACTTGATTTCTTAAAATTTATACAAAGCTTTAGGAAATTATTTATGAAATTTTAGTGTTCATTATACAGTTTCTTCTGCAGAGATTTCTTTACCATTGTACATCAACCTTTCACTTTTTGTTAAGAAATTTAAATTCCAAAAGATTTACTTTTTAATCAGAAGAAAGTGTTCATGGTGCAGTATTATCAATTCATCCCAATGACTTCACTCCCTTTGGCATCAAAGCCTTAGAAACAGCATTCTAAGCTAGATTAAAAAATTTTTTTGAAATACACTAATTCATTAGCCAAGCTGTGTTTCTTCTGTTTTAATGAAATTTATCTTTGTGTGTGTATATGTATATATACATCTGTATGTAAAGACCATTCCAGAAACTCTGAAAACAGACAAGAGATTCTCATGGAATTAAACACAAAAAATTAGATATGGAAAATAATCACTTGTAGAGGGGCATTCAGATGATTAGGGAAAAATTTCTTTGCCTTCACATGGGATATAAGGTTTATTCATTTTGCATCAAAGAAAAAGGATTACTAGTATGTCTTTTGGTTTTGGTTAAGATATTTTTTATATGGTAGTACTCAGTGAATCTCTTACAACAGAACTTCTTAATTCCTAACCAGTGGGTGGACTTCAGGGGATCCATTATGTTCCTGAATATCCTGAATATGTGCAAAAATATATGGATTTTTCTGGGGAACATATCATCCATAGTTTGTATCAAATTCTCATAGAAGCCACTGATACTGAAACTAACTTTTTAAATAATAGTTGTATTATTTAGAGACTAAATTGCCTCAATAAACATAAGATTCTTGAAGGCAGAGTTGTATGCTATTCCTGTCCCTAAATATTCATATACCCCATAGTGTAAAATATGGTAAAAATTCAGTAAATATCTCATGAATTGATTTGAAAAAAGAAAGTCCTCAGTCTCCAAGGGCCCACCATATTTTCTTCAGATGGATTTTGGCAGGCCTCTCACGTCATTTATAGTGAAGTTGGGGGAAAGAGTGCCAAGAAAGTGTGGAATGCCTTCCCCAGGCTGGGTGTAGGCCAGAGGTAGGGTTGCCTCCACCTAGAGGAGAGGGCAGGAAGTGGTCAGCATGGATTCCAGTCCATTGGCTGGGAAAGAAAATTGCCAAAGCCTAGCTCTCCCCCAAGTAGGCAACTATCCCCCTTTAAAAGGATCCCAGGACATAAGTGAATCTGTACTAATGGTCATCAGTACCCAAGAGACTTGAGGAATCTATTCTAGCATGAAGATCTGTGGTCCAGGAAAAGGGATGTCCTGGTATAATAGAAAGAACCCTGGATTTGGAGTATGAGATCTCAATTCAAGTCCCGGCTCTACCATTTAGCCAAATAGTCCTGGACAAAGTACTTAAATACATTTAATACATTACTTATATATTTAATATTTAGTTCACTTAACATATGTAATAATATAAAATTTGCCAGTATGTTCAAATTATAATTTTTTTTTGCGGGGGAGGGGGTTGTTTGTTTGTTTGTTTTTGAGATGGA